CATCAAGCCAACACAATGTGATACTAAAAGTAGGTAAGGAAGCCATGACTCACATAGAATACAAACAGAACATTGCCCAACAACCTCCAGTGTGCAACTAAAAAAATAATACATTATAACCAAGTCTTAGTTTTGTTTGTTTGTTTGGTTTTGGTTTTGAGAGTTTTGTTGTTGTTGTTTTGTTCTGCTTTGTTTTTCAAGACAGGGTTTCTCTGTGTAGCTTTGAAGCTGGTCCTGAAACTTTCTCTGTAGACCAGGTTGGCCTCGAACTCAGAGATCTGCCAACCTCTGCCTCCCTAGTGCTGGGATTAAAGGTGTGTACCACCACTGACTGGCTCAAATCTTTAAAACAAAAAGATTTATACAGTTTTATTTTATGAGGGTGAGTGTTTTACCTTCATGTGTGTATGCGCACCACATACATGCAGGCCAGAAGAGGGCATCAGATCCCCATAACTGGAGTTACACGCAGTTGTGAGTCACTATGTGGGTGCTGGGAACTGAACCCTGGTTCTCTGCAAGACCAGCCAGTGTTGTTAATCACTGAGCCATCTTTCCAGCTCCCATCACCCCCAATTCCTGTCTTGTTAATCCCAGGAGTTAGAAATTGATTTACAGTTTGAAAGTCAAATAATTTAATTCACAAATGAAAAATGTGAAGGTTTGAAACCCCAGGTGATTGCATACCAAACAAACATCATTTGACAAAATAATGAATAATATAGGGATGCTTCCTTAATCTAATAGTGTATTGAAGAAGACAAGAAAAAGAAATCTCCAGATTATATTTAATGGAAAATTTTCTGCTTACAAGGTATCTGCTATATCTATATCGGGCAGCATTATATAAGAAGTTTAAGTCCAGAGAGGGAAAAAAAGCATACAGACAAGAAAAAATGAAATAGAAATGTCATGGTTCACATATGATAAGATTGCAATATATAGAATCCAAGATTATCCAACTACTGAAGTATGTGAGCTTGGATTACTGGTACCAGGTTAATCTACAAAAGCATCTACTGTATTTCTGTACACTAGACATAAATAAATGAATACAACTTATTTTTATCAGCACTAGAGACTGAACCTCAGGTGTCATGTGTGTTAGGCAAGTCTCTGACCCCTGAGTTGTAACCCAGGCCTCTTCTTCCTTCCAGGTTTCAGTCAAGACTCTCACTAGGTACCCAGATTGGCCTTCAAATCTCTCTGTAGCCAGAAAGGCCATGAAGCTGCAATCCTCTTGCTTCCGCCTCCCAGATAGCTGAGATTACAAGCCTGCATCACCAGGCTCTGCTGAGACAATGCAAATCTTAAATTACACCTGCATAACAGGAAAGAAAGTAAATCTCAAAGAAGAGAAATCTGTCAAAAGATATGACAGAGCTGCACAGAGGAAAACCACAGGAAGTTACTTAGAAAATTAAACACCTCAGTAAATGGGACGTACCATATTCATGGACTAGTACATTCAGCACTGTAAACATGCCAATTTTTCTCAAACTGATCTTAAGAGTTATTTAATGCACTTCTTAATCGGTATGATGGATGGTTTTTAATCCTCCAATTTACTGTTGGTCACAGTGAATCTTCACAGATACAACCAACATACTGAAAGTCCCTTTCAGTCCTCTTTTGGGTCCTGGGGTGGAGCCTAGAGCCCCTTGGGTGCTTTGCTCTCCCTTCACCACTGTGCCACACCCCAGGCCCCATCATAGCATTTTAGGAGCGCCCGAAGTTTGAGAATCACTATTCTATCCAATTATCATGTAGACTTCCAGATATTCTTTCTTCTGACCATCAGGTTACCATTTCTTACTTGGTATCTTCATGCTTCTCACTAAAAAAAAAGTTAGCTAATTCTTCCAATTGAACCAGCTTTTTAAATTCCATTTCTGTTTTGGGTTGGTTTTTTTTTTTTTTTTTTTTTTTTGGTGTTTAGAGATAGGGTTTCTCTGTGGCTTTGGAGGCTGTCCTGGAACTCGCTCTTGTAGACCAGGCTGGTCTCAAACTCAGAGATTCGCCTGCCTCTGCCTCCCGAGTGCTGAGATTAAAGGTGTGTGCCACCACTGCCCGGCCCATTTAATTTTTTAATTTTATCTTTTGCTTTTATCCTTATCAATTTTTCTTTTGCTTCCTTCCCATTGATAACTCTACTTCTTCATTACATACTTAATTTATTTTGATGTTCATTAACATGGGTAATTACTATTACCAATTTCTTTCTGGCATCACTTAATCATACTGCTGAGATGCTAAAATATCCATTTTCTAGAAAATTAAGGAATCATTTCATGTTTCTCCTTTGATCACAGAACTCTTTGATAATATATTTTGAGAATAGACGCTTTCCCATTTCTTTTATCTTTCTCCATCCCTTTTGCAATATTGCAAAATTGTAAATAACAGGATTTGAAAGCATGAAGCTTAGCTGCTGATCTGTGGGCCCTTGCAAACTTGATTTGCACAGCTCCGTGCCAAGTTTGCGATGGGTACGTTGGGGCTTGATGTCCTCTGACATCCCTTCCAGTTCTAAGTGTCTATTATGCAGATCAGGGAAAAATCTGATTTTAATGATTGCTTCTCTCTTCTGATTTTATGCTTTCTGAGGAAACCAACGTCTTCATATCGTGACTCATGCCGAGCCTGGCAGCAGGGCAGAGTGGAGTGACTTCAGTTGGGTAGAAAACTTCTTAAAGGAGATGAATTCAGGACAAAGCACAGGTGGCAAAAGTGGAGAACTCCAACCCCAGTTCTGGCCACCACTAAGCATAGCCGTCTGGTTTCAGGGCTACTGCCTCGTGTCACTTTATCCCATCACGGGCTTTTCATGGTGTGGCCATGCTAGGAGTGGATATCACATACTAACTCTACCTGACTATGCAGCAAGGACTGCCAGTCAGTCCCATTCCCACACTGGTACTGTGGAGGGACCTTGGCCAGTGCCTGGTTGATCTGTAGCTGGGCACAGCTACTATTTTCAGCAGAAAACACAAAGTTCATTTGATGTGCAAAGGTGTGCTTTCCTGCTTCCACAAGATGGCTTGAACTCTATGCTTAGAGGATTTGCAAGCCTTTTCCCTCAGAAATGTTGATTTTGGTCATGTTTTTTTGATATCCATGTTCCCATCTAGCGCTTAGTGACGCTTGACCCATGGACTAGAACAGACCTACAAAAAGCTAATCCTGGCCATCTTGCTTTTTCCTAATTTGGCTCGAGAAGCCACGACCTTACCATAGAGTGTACTTTCAGACTGTCTTTAAAACACAATATTATCTAAAAGGTTGGCCCCAGGATTCCTGTGGTTGCTGAAACCCACAAATGGTCAAGTCCCCTCTACATGGTGTGATGTTTGCATAGGACCTGGCACATTCTCCTGAGCACTTAAGATTGTTTCTAACTTCCCATCATGCCTGACACCATGGAAACACCATAGGAACAGGAGCTCTGTATTGTTTAGGAAATAATGACAATAGTCTGTACTTGTTCAGTACTGTTGCCACCATCCCAGGCTAACAGTATATGCCAGCCAGAGCCCAGCGTAGGTCTGATCCATTGATGTGACCCAGAAGAAGGATAAGGAGAGCCTACTGGATTTTTGAACAAGTCACTTCCTTCATGTAAAGTTGAGCCTTCTCTTTCCCTCTGTCTCCAAGCCCTCAGGCCTCTGAGGGCCCAGGGCTCCTTAAAGGCAATAACACCTACGTCAGGGCTCAGAGGGGCTCTGGTTTTGCCCTGCCTGGGGTTATACTGAGAGGCTCTGGAAAACCACTGGTAGGGAGCTTAATTCCCCACTGTGCTCCTAAACGTCAAAGCAGTACTTTTGTCCAGTTCTGGAATGTGAAACTTGGTCCAAAGACTCTTTCTTCCCATAATTCCTTTCACATGCACATCTGTTCCATGCCTTGTTTATTGAGGCAGGGTTTCTTTGTGTAGCCCTGGCTGTCCTGGAACTCACTCTGTCATCCATACTGGCCTTGAATTCACAGAGATTTGTCTGCCTCTGTCTCCCCGGTGCTGGGATTAAAGGTGTGTGCCACCATTCCCGACTGTCTAAACCCCATCTTCTTAGCAAGAGTTAAAGTACATTCTGATCTCAGATGTGTAATGTTGGTTTTGTTTTTCTTTTTAGATTTATGCATTCAGGTGCCCATGGAGGTCAGACGAGGGCATCAGATCCCCTAGAACTGAAGTTACAGGCAGTTGTAAGCTGTGGGTTCTGGAAATCAAACCTAGTCCTTTGCAAGAGCAGCCAGTGCTATTAACCACAGAGGCCCCTGATGATCTTGGCCTTCCTAACAGAAAGGAGGCCCGTGAGTGTTGTTGTGACAAAACAGCAATGTACAGACACATTTAATACTATGCTTAGTCTTCATAATCTTTCATTAGATTGCTCCTGTCACTTAGGGTAAATGTTTTAATTAAAATGATATTTCAATCAGCCATCAGCCCCAGGCTTGAAGCGGTGGTAAGGATAAAATACTGCCAGAGAGCCCAATCCTATTTTCCAAGGTACTTGCCCTCTGTGGAGCACCTCCTGCTGCTGGCCTGCCTCCTGTGGGCTGGAGGCTGTGGGCACTGATCCAGATGCGACTCGGCCTTTCCCACCACTGCAGATACAGTACTGGGCACACGCAAGCACCTGTTATTCTCTGTTGAAGGGCCAGGCCCTGTGCACCCCAGGAGTTTGTACTGAGCTGCATCTGCCTCTTCCTTTGATAACGGCGCTCTGCTTAGCTGCTGCTGAGGTGGGATGCTGAATGCCTGGTGTTTGGAGATGGGCTGGTGAACAATTACCTGCCATATACCCTGGGTAGCAGGGTTGGTTCTAGTGGGAACTAGAACAGTAATAAACTGTGTTTAAAGACTCGGCTTTCCAGGGCAGGGAACAAGGATTGCCTCAGGGCGTGGTATGGGGACTATGGAGAGACTAACCACATCAGGGGGTGTGACTTACCCCCATCCCTGGATAATAAGAAGAAATCCATTACAGTTCTGCAAATTTAAGTTCTGCATCAAAACCCTTTTAATAGTATTCAAAGTCAGGTGGTGGTGGCGGCGGCTCACACCTTTAATCCCAGCAGTCAGGAGGCAGAGGCTGGCAGAGCTCTGTGTTTGAGGCCAGCCTGGTCTACAGAGGGAGTTTCCAGGACAGTTGGGACTACACAGAGAAACCTTGTCTCAAAAAAAAATAATATTCAAGAACCAAAGAGAAAGCTTAACATTTATGGTTTATGGATTTCCTAGCACATGTCCTGTCTTACAGGGCTTTTTCTCCACGAGTCCTGAGGACTCAGAACTTTGAAGGGGGGTCCAGGTTTTGAAAGGATTTTGAGCAGATAATGCTTTAAAGAGGTGATTTGGGTCTTTGGATTTATCTCTAATTCTAAACAAATGAACGGCCCCTTAGTGAGCATTTAGGGGGCTGAAACTGGCCCTGCCTAAAAGGCTGGAAAGTCATAAGTATCCTATACATTTAGCTCAAGCTATAATCCCTAAGGGAATCAAAAAACAAATGACAGGGGTTTGTTTTTTTTTAACTTCTTTTTGGTTGTGAGTCTAAGCTTTAGCAGCTGGGCCATCTCTGCAGCTCATCTTTGACTTCTTTTAGGCAGACAATGGGCTCCAAAAGGTCTCTGTAGCCTCATGTCAGTACAGCAGTGATAGGTCTGGATCCTTGGTCACTGGGTCATCAGAGATAGCTTCATGGCAAACTGTAAGAGGGGGCTCTAAAGGTGGAGATATGTGGACAAACAGAAGGGAGCAGGAAACTGATTTTGTTTCAGACAAAAATCAAGAAGCAGACGTGAGCCGGAAGTTACAGTGGGGGGACAGTTCGGAGACCATTAATGTGGGGCAGGGACTTTTGGGGCAGCAAGCTCAGAGTGGATTTGGCTTCTGTTTGCTGAAGGCCTTGATGATAAGCAGAAGATTGGTGTCTGTGCTCTAGGCTGTGGGGAATTATTCTGGGTATGTGAGTCAGGGTTACACGATGACGAAAGTGGCGCTCCGGGCTTTTTATCTGGTCTAACATTTTAGAAAGGATGGGGGAAGCTGATTCTGGGAGTAGCAAGCACATTATGAGGCTATACTTCGGGGTTTTGAACAAAAGCAGTGTTTGCTTTTGAAAACTGCAACATCAAAGTCCAAAATGGTGGCCTAATTAGTGAGTAGCTGGAGATGCAGGTCAACTGGTTTGGCAAGAATATACTCATTCTATTCCTGGTGCCTGTCCATCCCCTCAAGGTTCAGGAGATCCTGCAGAAGGCATGGCTGGGTTACACTGCCTTCCCAGATGGAACCTTCCAGATGGAGAGTTGCTCTAGGTTTGCTCCACGTCCAGTTTTATCACATGATAAAATCTAGAATCAAGTTTTCAGACAAAAATCAAGAAAGTCTTGATTGGGGTGATGGAGCATGTCAGAGTTCCGGGTTGGATCACCAGCACAAAACCCATCAAAACTAACCCAACAAGAAAGCCTGTTGGTGCCTGGGGCACTGGGGGTTAATTTTGGGGTAGGATGCTTGAATATTAAAAACAACCCCCTCTCTCAATAATTGCTATTTCAAATGCCACAGTTCTGACAGAAGCTGAGCTTCTAGGGTAAAATGAAGACAACAGACTAACACAAAGAAGTGAAATTTCCATGAATGCCATTGCCCTGGGTATCCGCCTCACTCTTCTAATGCTACCCATTTACTCAAATGAGTCTCCCTTCATTTCTAAACCATCTGCTCGCAATGTCATGTTGCAATAACCAGCTCAAAAACCAGCTTTTTGAGAAACCTCACCCACTCAAGGCAAAACTCCAGGGGAGGCCTATTCTGAATACATTTTTGTTGATATTTATCACTCAGCTGTGGTATGAAATACCAATTTCTTACAACATAGGCATGTATTTATCATCCAGATCCCGGCAGCTGTAAACTGGCTGTGGCTGTGCTACACCTGCCCATCTATTCTAAGGCCCAATAGGACTGCTTTGTGGTACTGGAAGATCTCAGTGAGTTGTTCCAAGTATAGAGTGATTGTGCTGCCTTCCAAGCCACTAGCTGAAAAGGTCCAATCACACAGCCCCATGTCGGGGAGAGGAAGGCAAGCTCTCTTGGCAGTAGTGGGAATATATCAACAATAAAAGAAAAGACACTGGAGGATCCAAGACAAGGCTCTGCCACTCACGCTTCCCATTGGTCACATCTATTCGTTAGGCAAAATTCGAGGACTATCCATAGCTGGTATATTTAGTAAATACAAAATAATTTGAAAGCAAAGAAACAAGGAAGCTTGTCTGTCTAGATACACTGATGCCTTTGAAAATGGCAACCCGGGGAGAAAGGATCCCACTGAGGATGTATTTGACCAACCTATTTGCTTTGTTTCATGGTTAACCTCTGACGTCAGAAGTATAAAGCCTGAATTTAGGGACGTGACACATCTCTAACTTCCCCTTGCTTTACTGGTGCCAGGGGAGGTGTCGAACCCAGTGCCTCACAGATACTAGACAAGTACTGCCAGTGAGCTGCAGCCCCAGATCTGACTTCCTTTACACCAAATATGGATCCATTTCTTTACCTTACAGAGGTAAAAGAGAACCCAGAAATACAAACTTGAAGGGAACACCATGAACTGCCAAACAATTCATCGGGAGGGAAACCTATGACAGTTCCAAGGAAAAGCCATGTTTCCTTCATGTTCTCAGGATGCCGGGAAAGTAAGGCCCGCTCTGGGGCCCCTCACAGTTAAATGTTACCTCTGTAATCCTTTGCTCTTGCCCCAGTCATACTCCCCGAGTTTAAAGTCTCTCTTGCCTTCCTGGGATCTACCCTCAGCCTCTCTTCCCTAGACCCCAGAGGCTGGTGTTTCTAGTCACTGCTTTAGCTACTGAGCCAGGAGGACAGCCCCACGCTTCCTGCCCAGGCTGCACTTTCATGTCTACCTCTGAGCACGTGCTCTCCTCTGCAGGGACGTGTGGGGCATGTGCTGTGATTACAACAATTTCGCAGGCTCATCACCAGGTCTTGTGGAAGATAAAGAGATGACTGACACATGAAAGCATTTGGAGATTAGCACTAAAGGCCCAGTACTTACCTTTTGGGATGTCTTTGTACTTTTTTTTAATAACTCATTTCTAGAGTCCTTCTCCAACCACACTCAGCTGGCTCCTTCACTATTATTTTCCTCTTTATAATGTTGCATCCAACATCAGTCTTCCCCCACTAAACTTCGTGGTCCACAAGGGCAGAGCCTTTACTTGGTTTGTTTCTGGGACCTGGCAGAATAGTAGATTTTTCAGTTCCTTTTCTTTGGTTAAGCAATGTTAAACTAATTGCTTGATATCTTAGAATGTTAACTTTTTAAATGTGTATAGTTGGATGACTCGGGTCTTCTTCAAAGTTTTTAGCAGATCAAACTGCTTTGTATGAGTGATTCCTGAAGCTGACTGCTGTCTGCAACTGGCCACAGAAAACACACAAATAAACAGCCTGTGGGAAGTGTGTGAAGCACCATGTGGGAGAATCGAGGATAAGGGCATGCTAGTTGCACATGTAGGCAGTGAGTACAAGATGTTCACTGGCCAGTTCACCTCTCTGAAAATCTTTGCAATAAAAATCTGTGGAAAGCAAGGGGTTCAGATGTAAACTAGGCCTTTGGAGAAAGCTAAAGAAACAATTTAACGTTAAAAATCAATAACAGAGCTGGGGCTCAGGTGGTAAAGTGCATATTCTGGACATAATCCCCAGTTTTTTCTCAAAAAAACAAGGGGGACAATACCTAAGGGACAATGCTGAAGGCTGACCTCCAGTCTCTAGGCCCACTGGCACAAGCACACAAATAAACACACACACACACACACACACACACACATGCATATACAACACTAAAAAATAAACAATGGGGCTGGGGAGGTTGCTCGGTGAGTAAAGTGCTTGCTACATGTGGTGGTCTGAATAAAATGACCCCTAGGCCCATAGGGAGTGACACTATTAGGAAGTGTGGCCTTTTTGGATGTGTCTTTAGGGGGTTGGCTTTGAGGTCTCAGAAGCACAAGCCTGGCCAGTGCATGTCACTGTTACTTCCTGCTGCCTGTGGATCCAGACACAGAACTCTCAGCTACCTCTCTAGTACCACATCTGTCTGTGTGCCACCATGCTTCCTGACAAGATAATAATGGACCAAACCTCTGGACTGTAGGCCAGCCCCAGTTAAATGTTTTCCTTCATAAGAGTTTCTGTGGTCATGGTGTCTCTTCACAGCAATAGAAACCCTAAGACTCTACACAAGCATGAGGACCCAAATTCAGATCAGTGGCAACCATGTGAAATCTGGGCACTGGGGTGTGCATTTGTAGCTATGCAGAAGGAGATGGATGGATCCCTAGCTGAAAGGGTAAGCCCAAGGCTCAGTAAGGGGCCCAGTTAAAAAAAAAGCATAGGTCCAGTGAGATGTTCAGCAGGTAAAGGTGCTTGCTGTCAAGTCAGACAACTTGAATTAAAGCCTCCAGACTCACATGGTAGAAGGAGAAAACTGACTCCCAAAAGTTGTCCTCTGACCTCCACATGTGCACACACAGTGAGCACACCTGTCACAGTGTGTGCATATACACATATACCACATACACACTAAAGGTGTGTTAAACCACACAAAAAGAGTGGTTGAAATTATGAAAGATAAAATAGATGGTACATTTTTAACAAAATGACATGAGCTTTCAAAACATATCATTCATAACTATTAGAGGTGATGGGTATTTTTGAAGAGATTAAAGGAGGGAGAGCCATTGTGAGAGAGTAGTTAATGGGGCAGAAAGTATTTCATGAGATAGGTGATATTACAACTGGGCCTTGAAGGATGTATATGATTTTAAAGCAATGAGGACAAGGAAAGCAACTTTGGGCTTGGCAAGATGGCTCCATGAATCAAGGCACTTGTCACCAAGCCTTGCCAGAGTTTGATCCCTAAGACTCACATGGTGGAAAATGTGAGGTGGAAAGGAGAAAAATGACTTCTGCAAATTGTCCTCTGACCTGCACATGCATTCTGTGCATGCATGCACATACAGGCACACATGCACGCAGGTATTCTTAAGCACTCACACACACACACACACTCACACATGCACTCAATTTCAAGGGGCTGACAAGAAGGCATTGTAGTTGGAGCCTGTGGGTGGTGTAAGAAGACAGAAACAAGGATCTTGAAGTTTCTATCAGTGTAGTTGCAACTGAAATGGGGAGATGAAGTTGTAAAGCAGCACGGATGAGAGTCAGACAGCTCCAAGGTCTTCCTCTTTTGTGTCAGGGACCAGCCTGGGAAGCTTGGGATGTACTATCTCACTTAATCTTTACAACAACCACAGGAGGCAGGTTTAGCCAATGAGGAAGCTGAGGTTTAGAATTTAGTCATCTGCCAAGGTTTCCCAGCTGGCGAGTGGTAGACCCAGTACCAACATGAACCCAGGTCATGTAGACTTACTTAACCACTGGACATGCTATCTCTCTGGGAAGTAGAGATTACTCTCCAGAGGGCCTTCAAGACCAAGTTCAGGAGTTTGAACTCTGCTTCCTAAGCCTGGGGATTCACCAGGAAGATTCTGATCAGGAAAATGACAAGGTCAGATATTTTAAATAGAATGTATCTGGTAAAAATGGGTAGGAGAGTTCAGCAGGAAGCCCCATGAAAAAGCTATGGCAGTGGAGGTATGAACTGAGGCCCTAATATGGAAGGCCAGCAGAACAAAAGGATGGTCCTTAAGAAGAAATAACCAACTGTCTTTCTAACATTATGTGGACTATATTGTTTGCTGTAATGCTGGTTCTTTTGTTTTGGAGACAGTGCCTCATGTAACCCGGGACACCCTCAATCTATGTAACTAAAGATGACCTAGAGCTTTTAATCAGCCCACCTTCACCTCCTAAATGCTGAGGATGTGAGCTTGCCCCACCATACCCATATACAGTGCTGGGGATCAAAGCCAGGACCCCGTGCATGCTGGCAAGCACTCTACCAGATGAACCCTTTGTATTAATGTTGACTATTCAAACCCAAAGGCTCTCTAGATTAGCGTTATGGTGTATCAGCCTTAGTGAAACTTCCAAGGCAAAAGGAACGGCCTAAATTTATTCCAATCCACTGCCACAGCTAATCAGAACCAGGGTGGTTTGAAATCTCCTCTTGGTAGTTCATCCTTTTTGGAGTTGTCTATGGGCCAAGTGATTTCCTGTCATTACCACAGACTTCCAGAGAGATTCAAGAACTCAAACCTTTGCTGTCTCGGGACTAAACCAACAGAGCCAACCTTCCCCTGAAAACTAGATTTAGAACTAGAATTGTTTTTCTTTTTTTTTTTTTATTAACCAGGGTCATGGAACTGAGACTGATCTGCTGGAGTAGTTGTGGTTCTCTTCCGAGAGCTGCCTGAAGGAGTTAACAGACGGGTGGGAATTCTTATCAGAGGAGATGGGTATGGATATGGAAGAGCCTGAAAATGATTAGAGGAGTGTTCCTTAAGGAGCATTCATCTAGAAATGGGGTGAGGCCCCTGTACCAGGTTTCTGATTGCCCCTTCCACCCTGACTGTCAGGTTATCACCCTGATAAAAATAGAGGGGGAATGGGATCCACAAAGAAACATGAAAATACAGTCCAGTGGACTAGTGTATGTAGTGTGTGTGACCATAAGAGAAACTGCAAATTCTCAAACTGATTGGGGTGTTCAGTAAGAGGATAAACCAGGAGCAATGACTAATTGCATTATTTTTCTACATATTTACAGCTCACAAACTTGAAGTTCACGGGTACTTATGAATAGAAACAGAGCATTCAATTATGACACCCTGTCTTAAAAAATTCTCACACATTTATGGTCATATGCTTTGAACCTCACATTATAATATAGATCAACCCTTCAATTTGATTCTCAGGGAGACTGTTTCCTTTAAATCCCTAAAATGACAATTCTTAATTATTTCCTTTATGTCATAACTCTGCTACCACACACAGAGAATACACAAAGCAGTTCATGAAGGAAATCTCTGGATTCCTAGGTTTAAAATTCCTGATCTTCTAAAAGTCACAGAAATTCAAATAATGTACTTACGACAGATCTGAAGGCAATTATTTTCTGTGCCTAAGTAGAGTAGCAGTCTGGCTAGAATAAATGTTTGGTCTCCCAGAGGGATTGCTTTGGAGGAATCCAAGCCATGGCGGGAGTGACAGTGTAGGAGGTGTGTTTAAGAATAGGTCCACCATAGGATGGAGGGATGGCTCAGATGCAAAGCACCTGCATTGCTCTCCCAACAAACCTGAGTACAATTCCCAGCTCAGCTAGGATTTTGGCTCACAACTACCTGTAACTCCAGCTCTAGGGTGATCTCAGGTTTCTGGCTTCTTTCGGCACCAGCCTTCACATACAGCTCCCACCCCATACTCTCACATTAAAAATAATAAAAATGAAAAAATAAATCTAAAAAATATACTGGAAAACTATTAGCCAGGATAGTGGTGCCTGTTCTTTTCTCCCAAGACTTGGGAGGCAGAGGCAGGTCTCTGTGAGTTAAGGCTAGCCTGGTCTATGTAGTGAGTTCTAGGTCAACTAAGGTTACATAGTGAGAATCTCTCTTTAATGGGATTTTTATTTCTATGCCTGCAAAGGTTACTGATGCTTGTGTCTGTGTCTGTGCATTCACACTATATCATTGCCAGTGGGAAGCCTGGCAGCCGCAGCATCTGTTTCTCCAGGTGTCCACCCTCAACTCTAATTGTCGGTCAACAGCTACAGCCTCAGGTCATTTCAGATGGGTTTAAATTGCCCTAGAGGCTCACTAATCTGGGAGCTGGAGAAAGGCACTTGGCTTCCTTGGGAGGAGTCATATGAAAGGGGACTGGGTGCTGACAAGTGTGCTCTTTGAGATAGACAGAAGTGGAATTTATTATGATGGTCTCAGAAGCAGCCATTGTTGGTAGCAGACATTTAGCTCATTTAATCCTGAAACTGACCCAGAAAAGGAAAACTTGAGACAGAAAAGCTAATCACTTGTAAGGTCAAATCAATTAGCCAATAATTAGCAGAGCCTGGGTACAAACTCAAATTTGACTCAGGCTCTTGCCGCCGGCTAACACTGTTGTCTTCACCCTTCCTTCTGACCTTGATACACCGCTCTTTAAAAATGATACACCTCTCCATTCCATTTGTCTCAGGAAGGACATATTCTGAATGACCGTAGAGACAGGACTAAAGCTCATTTATTTGTCTATGTCACTAACTCCCTTTAGGATTGTGGCAAATGCTCTAAGTGTCTGAGCCTCAATTTTCTCATCTGTAAAGAGGTGTAAAACTAGTAGCTGCTTTCAACTGAAAAACTCTTGTTTTCTTTGCACCCACTCCTCCCCCAGCAGACAGGCCTCTCAATCTTGTGGACTCTTCCCAGCTCTCTCCTACCTACCATGTAGGCTTTTCTGACCTGGAGCTAGACATATGCTCCACTGAGACACGTACAGCTTGTTGTCCATCTTACACTAACGTAACTCATCTTACTCATTCTCTTTCCACATCTTATCAGAACTCATCTGAATTCCTCACATTTTAAATCAGTCTTATTTATGAATGAGTTACAATATATGATTTAATTCCTTCATGAGGAACAGTTGTTTGTTTTCATGTTTGGTTGTTTTTTTTTCCATGTTGCAACAAATATTCTTTTGCTTCCTTGTGTAGATGAAGTCCCTAGCAGTGTTCAGAAATCAGATTCCTGAAGCATAGCTGGGCACTGGATGTAGTGCCCACACATGCTCCCACCAGCAATGTATAAGTGTAGAGTTTCCCATGTTCTCATTGATAGCTACCAAGCTTTATTATTTTCCAAGCTGACACCATGATTGCATTCCTTAAGACAGTACACTTGCCTTTTCTATTTACATCATCTCCCCTGACAGTTGTGGATTTTATGAATGCAGAAACCTTCAGTTTTATATTCTTCCATGAAATTTGTTGAGCTTAATAAGTATACAAAAAAGAATTACCTACAAATACATAATGAACAGAATTTATTCACCTTGATCTGCGTGGTGGGGAGCCCCACAAGGGCAGGGATGAAGCTTTTTGTTTACTCGTCTGAGCTGAGGATGTCAGAGGGAATTCCAATAAGTTACAGAAAGGTAATCTAATATACATGGCAGTCAGTTGGCCTACAGACTAAAAGTTTAGGAATCTACAGCAGACTAGGGTCAACCATTTGACCCAACTTTTGATCATTTTACTCACACTATTCACTGGATGTTGAACTATTGTGTGGTACTGTTTCCCGAGTCTCTGTGACCATCTTTTTTAAATGCCAAGAGGTCTGTTTCTCAATGGGACACCCCCACCTCTGGTCCAGATCTGTTAGTAGGGGCTGGGTAGAATCCCTGTATCCCTTGACTAGGGCACTGAATGACTATGGTAAATACCTCCCCTTTCTGTTGCCCCAACAGTCCTTCCAGGGTGACTCATTTTCTAAATAAGCTACTTGTGGTTTTGGTTTTGAGATCACATGTGGAAGAATGAGTAATTTTTTTAAGAACCAGAATTATATTTGAACAGAATAAGATGCACAGTGCATGTTACTCATGGTTTTAGGCCAATGGGTCAACACTGGTGACAAGCCCACCACCTCTCATTCCTTCCCCCTTGGCTAGGTTTGTATATTATGTAGTCATCCTATGAAAAATTGATAAAATTATCTCTTATTGACCCTGCAAGATTGATTAAAATATAGCAAAGTGATTAAGGCTATGAACTCTACTGTGCTATTGCTTGGCTTTCTCTTTGCAGTATACATATGTGTATGCATCTACATGTGAGCACATGTATACAGAGACACATGTATATGTGTGAGCACGTGGAGGCCTGAGGTTGATTCTAGATGTCTTCCTTCTTTGTTCTCCACCTTATATATTGAGACAGGGTTTTTGGCTGAATCTTGAACTGTTTCAGCTGGTCAGGGTAGCCAGTTTCCACCAGGGATTCCCTATCCCTGCCTCCCACACACTAGGATTATAGGCAGGCTACCAGACTCACCTGGGATTTTTTCCTCCAAGAATTCTGAGGATCCAAACTTTGGTCTTCATACTTGTATAGCAGGTGCTGTACCCAAGGAGTCACATTCAGAGCCCCTATTGTTTGGGTTTAAATTTTAGTTCCACCACTTGACCAATTGGATGACCTTAAACAAGTTGCTGAATTTTGATGTGCTGTCATTTCTTCAAACAAAACCTAAGATTTGTGTGACCCTTTTCTTTCACTAGGATGCAGGTAGAGGTACAGTACTTGTCTAGCATGAGTGAGGCTCTGAGGCCCTGGGATCCATTCCCAGGAGGGGGGCAGGGAAGGAGAGAGAGAGAGAGAGAGAGAGAGAGAGAGAGAGAGAGAGAGAGAGAGAGAGAGAGAGAGAGAGAGAGAGAGAGAGAGAGAGATCCTGTCTTTTGTTTGGCTGTCGTGCCCTAAGTATGTGTACTGTGGATGGAAGTACATCACCCATCAAGTGCCATTCAATGGGTGAGGTGGGATTCTACGTCTTGTCTTACCTGCCTCGGTCCTTAGATCCTAAAACACAGGATAATTGTGACTCAGTAAGGAGATTTGGCACCACCAAAATTCATTCTCCGACCTCTTGGAATCCCTGCTTGTGAGCAGGGGCTAGACAGTGGCATTTTTAGGAGTGTTAACTTGTTGAATTCATACTGCATCCAGGGAATTATGTAGCTAAAATGCTAACACACTTATTTTTCTTAAACATGTGAAATTTATCTTCAGAGTCTTTGGAAACACCCTCATAGAATCATGAGGGTGTCAGAGTAAAATCCCTCAGAGCCCACCCCAGCAGCAGGCCTTCAGGCCTCCTGAGCTACAGCTGAGGATACTGATGAACGATGGGAGAGTGGGTCTAACTTGGCTGATATGCCAGCTGGGGTGCTATGCAGATTAGAGTCTGTGAATTGAATCAAATGGGTAGAAATGCCAAGCTGTTGATGGTAACTCAGCAGTTCTAGAGGAGACAATTGCACTGGGGAGCTGACAGGAGTGTCAGCATGTGATGTAAAGTCCAGACACATTCTTGTTTTGTTTTGTTTTGTTTTTTTGAGGCAGGGTTTCTCTGTATTGTTTTGGAGGCTGTCCTGGCACTCGCTCCGTCGACCAGGCTGGTCTCGAACTCACAGGGATTCACCTGCCTCTGCCTCCCGAGTGCTGGGATTAAAGGCGTGTACCACCAACGCCCGGCCCAGACACATTCTTAACACAGACACACACCTGCTGTCTCTCATACACACACACACACACACCCACCCCCATCAACAGCAGTTTTACCCTCCTGGACTTTTCACTCCCTACTCACAAACGCATCTGCATGCCCCATGTATGTGCTCAACCTAGACAGGGGAACCTCAGGGCTGAATCAAAGGCTGGTTAATGCTGCTGCTTTTATTACACCGAAGTCTTGACATTCATTAGGTGAGGAACACAAAGGCTGGCGTACTGCTGTTATAGCGGCATGCATTCTCTTCTACAGTGCAGCGTTGGGAGGCCAAGGTTACTGCAGTTCACACAACAGAACTGCTCTCTGGAGGGGAGAGAGGGAGACACAGCAGTCCTGGTTCTCTTGGTTCAACAGACACAGGAACTTCACTACCACAGCAGGGTCAGGTGAGTGTGCTTTCAACAGGTGCTATAGGACACCCAGCTTTGGGGAAAGTTCCTAAAACTCAGAGCCAACAGTACTTCTAGGTAAGTGTATTCTTCCCACAGGTAGCACTGACTATAAGGACATGCTGAGCTCTGCATCTGAGCTGGGTTAAGCTACTAGGAGTCCTCCATTACGGAGATTCTGACTTCACAGGGAAGAGTAAGACACAATGGCTCTGTCACAATAAGGCCACTAAATTCACAGCAACAATGACTTCAGAATAAAGCTCTTAAGACTACAGGGAAACAGCCCTTTCCTCTCCTGTCAGGCCCTCTCAGGGTAGGCACCTGCCCTGAGACTGTCGCCTGGTCATTTCTAGGCTGCACGAATTACTGAGCACAAAGGGACAGAAGAAGGGACCACACATGTCAAGTCATGGGACATCGCCACCAAACATGGCAGACTGTTGTTGGTGAATGTCTTAGATGCCTTTCCTGGTTGGGCCGGGCGCCCTCGTGTATCTGAAGAGCTAATCTGAAAAGAGGCTGGCAAAGGACTTCCTCAAGCTCCGGATGGTCTCCGCTTTGGCTTCATCCTCATTGGCTGAAGACCGG